TGCCTATAAACTGTTATCCTTGCCAATTGAAGGAAAGGAGTGATTGCACTCTGCTTGAGTAGTGCAGTGGAGTTATTATTGGAGTTCTTAAAAGAGGAGCATTGAGGCATGGACATGAGAAAGATTGTGTTGAACCACTTGAAAACTCATTTATTGTTACTTGCACTTGCTTTACATGACTTTTTCAATACTTTTTTTTTTTGCACTTGTCTTATTAATTGTGCTTAATTGAATGGTTGAATAAGAGGAGTTTGCAAAAACCTCTAAATTTGCGTTAACCCCAATTCACCCTATTATCAAATTCCTTGACGCATCTCGCATAACAATAACAACAACAAAGACTTAATCACACCACGTGGGGTCGGCTACATGAATCCTTTTTCTCCATTGTGTCCTATTTAGTGTCATATTTTCATTTAGTTCTAATAAATTAAGATCCTTTTTTATGCAATAAGCCCAATCTTCCTAAGTACCTCTGCCTTTCTTAACATAAGTCGAATCTAAAACATATACTCGTATAATCTAAATAAAATACAATCAATGTTTAATTCACTTCTTATAGATGCATGCTAATTAATTTATGTGCATTTGGCTTTAGATATTGTCGCCATCTTCATTCATACGCCAAGGGCTGTTCCGATTATTTATTTAGGATGTGGGAGGGGGTGTAGGATGCTTAATAACTTGGCTCCTACATTCGGAGCATTTTGGAAAAAAGAACTTCTTATTGTTAGTTTTCTCTTTTTTTTATTGAGGGCATTTACATACATACCATCCAATTTCTATGTATTTACATATCCAACATCTAAATTTTGCTTTTTTAATTTTTATTTTACACCACCCAAATCTTTCATATTACGTAAAAAAATACCACCATTTTAACTTTAAAGAAGTGAAATATACATTTTCATGCATAGCTAAGGCGGTATGTATGTAACAATTGAAGGTTAGGTGTTAAATATACATTGGAATTGAGTGGTATGTATATAAATCTTCCTTTTTATATTTTTCTTATTTTAATTATCTTGTTTCATGTCTGAAATCTTTTACATATCTCCCTGGTTATAACTTCCACAGCTTAACTATTTTGCATCAATTATCTTTGATTTGCTGCATGCTCCTTCTAATTTCTTAAATATGCCATTACAGTCGGCAGATACATGTTTTGTCCAACCAGAAAATTTCTTTTCAGGATACTGCTTCTTTGGGCATGGGAAAGAAGCGTTTGACATGCCACCAGTGCATGCACAGCTTTGAAAAGGATGTTGTTGTTTGCTCTAATTGTAAGATCAAGCGATATTGCCGCTCATGTGTGGCCAAATGGTAAATATAACGCATAGACTGTTTTTCTTCTATGAAAATATCATCTCTTTCATTTTGTGTTATTTATTGTAACTGTATTAATTACTTTAAAAAATAAATTAGTCCTATACTTGCATAACTAAATTTCAAGTGTTCTTTAGGATATTTTTCTAAGCCAATGCTTTTAGACAGATCTGATTAATTTGAAGGCTGGGTTTTTTGTGGTTTAGGCTTGGAAAGACAGCTTTAAATGGGAAAGGCTCAGCAGGCCCTCCCAGCCTTCAGTCTGTTCTTGCTGCTGCCTTAAAGTACTGTTGAATTTTTCAGTCATTTCTCCTTGAATTAGAAAAGAAATGTTCCCTTACTATATAAGTTTGCATCTATTGAGGTCTGGTGTGCTGGCGGGTCTCCCAGGGGTAGAAATTTTGTCTTGTTATAGATAATGAGGTAACCATGTGTGGAAGGGCAACTATGCATTAAGTGGATAAGGTTGGAGTCTTTGGGCTAGACAATGCCTAGATTGCTTATCCGTCTGGTTTGGATATTGTAGATTATGATGGACAACTGTTGTTGGGCTGTCTATTTCTCTTCTTGTGATTATATTTTGAATAATTGGTACTTTTTGAATTCAATTGCTGCAGACTTTTTTGTTCCATTTCTTATTATGGCTTGATGTAGCTTTTGTTTTTTTTGCTTATAAAACTTTATAAATTGCACCGTATTTTGGTCAAATAAATATAATTAGATTATTCCAATTTTCTTCTTATTTCAATTATACTTGCGTGTTTCTTATATAGCATTAAAGTTAGGTTTCATCTAAGTGATGATGGTCTACTATTACAAAGAAGGTGAGAAGGTCGATTGATGAGGATCTGATTTAGTGGAGAGGGGTTGTGGAATAGCTAGAGAATGGTAATATGTGATGTCGGCAGAGTTTGGATTGGGTTTGAGGGAGTTTGTACCTGTCCAGACTAAAAATAGCAAGAAACTTGGGTCGCGAAGTGCAGATGAGGAAAGGCTCCACCACTTGTCTTTTTATCCAAGGTACAACACTCACCACTTGAAGAAAAGGATTCAACTTTCCTAATAGGAGAATTTTAGAGAAACAAATCTTTACCGTTATCAAATCAAAGCTAAAAGTCTAAAACTTGAAAAGTAACAACTTATGAATAGTTTTCCCTCAAAATAACCCTAATTCTATTTCACAGGCCCGACAACTGTCTCGAGGTTGGAAATTTTCACTTTGGTTTTCACGTGACAGGATTCTCTCCCCATCTCGATTCCTATCCCGTGTAAGTGGGTATTGCAGGATTGCGGAATCGCTCTCGCATCACTCTCCCCCAGTAGAAGTGGCTTCATCTTTTTCATTGGAAGCATTCGGATCCTTGTTGTACAGTAACAAGTCATTGACGTTAACTGTGACAGAAATCTTGTACTCCTTTGGTAAATCAATCTTTAAAGCACTAATATTGATCCTCATGGTGATTCTGAATGGACTATCAACTCTAAGGCTTCTTTGAGTTTCCCAAAGAAACTACATTAAATCTCTCTTTCTTCAATATGATCCATACTAAGTCACATTCTTTAAAGACCCGAACTTTCCTAAACTTATTTTTTTCATTTGATATTTTAGTATTTTGTTTTGCAATTTCTGCCCTCACATGTTCATGTAAGGTCTAAATCTCTGTGTCTCTAACATCTTCATCCGTGTTATAAGCTTGTCAGCTGGAAGCATCAGCATTAACTCTAATGGAGTTAGAGGATTTTGCCTGTATATACTCTAAAATGGCTGTGATTTGTGGACTGACTAGTTGACTTTTTGTAGGCACTTAACCTACAAGAAAATTAAATTCCACTAGTTGATGTTCTTTCCCTCAAAACACCTGAGGAGGTTTTCTTAATTGGAATTCACTACCGCTATGGCTTTATCTAACTAGTCGTCTGTGGGTGTTTTGCTGTTGAACTCAACTAAACTGAAGCTTTGTAATTAACGTACCCCATATAGTTCTCTGAAAGTGGCTCAAAAAAATTATTTTCTTATATGAAGTGATGACCCTAGGTACACCATATAGGGGAACTATTTCTCTAAAGTAGAAGACTGCAATGCACAATACGTCCATCGTCTTGTGGCAATGAATAAAATGTGCCATCTCGGAGAACCTCTTTGCCAGTACCATAATAGAATCTTTACTTTGTTGTAACCATGACAAACTCATCATAAAGTTTCTGCTCACAATTAAGGTGCCTATGGAACGGTAAGGGGAGTGTATAAGCGTATATTATGTCATTTAGTCTTAGCTAAGTGATATACCCTACACCGTCTTACATTTCTATCTGCATTTAGTATCAATACGGGGTAATAGAGATTTACTTTTACTGAAGAAATAGTCTTTTCCTTGCCAAAGTGTCATGACATATCTCTACTGTGACTCTCTTGTAAGCTTGCCTATTTGAGTGAACTTTTGGGGATGCACAATATATTATGGCAGAGCATGTTGCCATCTGACCTATGAAAGTACTTATATGACCTGTGCTGACAACGATCCAAAATCTCTTTGAAATCCTCGTCAGTGATGTGGATATTCTTTAACAATTCACGCCCAATAACCTTCGACTGCATAGTAGTGATCAACAAGTTACGATAACTTAGGTATCCGTTGATTTGATCCGACTCCCCATCTTATGCTTGAGCCTAAAATAAAAAGAAGAAAGGAATTTTACCAATGAGACGTGTCTGCCTTATAGCTTACTCTATATGTTTAAGAATATCAAGCCGTTATGTCGGTGTGCATAGTAAAATCGTTTGCCCACAGATAATGACTTCATTGACTATGGGCACTAGAACTCATTATCATTGGTAGAATGCTTTCCTGCCTTGACTCAACATAGCTCCAACTCTCTTGTTGAAGGGATCACATTCCATCTTGAACACTTGATTAAAATCTGGAAGAGCTAGGACCATGGCCTGAATAATTTATTTGTTCAAAAATTTAAATTGATATGTGCTCGCCCTGGCCGCTCTGCTCGAGAACCCTTTGGACCGGTCAGGGTCGGTCCGTTGCTCCAGCTCGAGCGGGAGCCTTCCAGCACCGGCGTCCCATCCACGCGGGGTTCTTTGCACCCGTGTCTGTATCCTGGGATTGGGGAGCTTCAACCTCATTCCTCGAAACTTCTATTGGTACACGAATGGAGAGGAAGCTGATAGACATTGTCGTTCTAAAAACACATTCTATTAGAATAGGCATTCGTCCATCTTTGGCATGCCCTGTACTGGAACTGCAGGAAGATGAGTATTCTTACGGCTCAAGTTTCAAACCAATTCATTTGTAACCTACTTCTTCCACTCCTCATATTTGGTTGAGTGCATCTGATGAACTAACATGTAAGGTGAAGTTAAATATGGGGTGAAATCTGTGACAAACTGCACCCCTCTCACTAGCACCCACTCGGACAAGACATCTTCGGTGATAGGACCTGGATTCCATTGAAGAATTTTCTTCCCCATCGTGCTTCTCGGGCCTACTGCAAAGATAGGGTTCATCTCTCTTATATGGTTATCTGATGAGGGGTACCATGCGGAACATGAAATAACCTCTGAATAACTCCACATGATATTCCTGACATCACCCAAAATGACTCATCTTTGGACATGCTGGACCTTTCTCCGTATGGGTAACTTAGAAGGGGGGATTTATAAATCTGAAATATCTGCATTTACCTTTTCTTTGGTGACTCTGTATGTGGTGCCGACTCTCAAACTCATAACCCTGTAGGGATCCAAGGCTGGTTCTGCTGATGTTTCTCTCAAAGTTTGCAAAATGCTGGCTCGAGGCACTGTAATCTCTGGCTCTGCCGGGATGCCTATTACCTGAGAGCCTTCTAAAGCAGCGTCTGCTATTGTTGGAATCTCTATCTCAGGGCCAACTGGATTCGGTGACATCTCTTTCTGCTAAAAAATTAGAATCCTCTCTGAAGTCTGTTTCTTTTTTCTGATCACCGTTCATATCTTTAACTGGATGTGAGTTCTCATTTTTGTCCTCATCGTCTTTAGTGCTTGTGGTTTCTTTACCCAAATTTTCAATGACGCCCTATTCGATGAAGTAGACCACTTTGTCGGTTGTGCATTTTCCCTCAACATGTTTAAATCGGTGACACTTGCCACATTTTTTGGCTGTGACAAACTGCAGATTGGTTTTGCTGGATTATAGCCAGGGGTTGCTTGGTGCTGTGGTCCTTCCAAGTTGGATGCTAGAGTTCGCAAATTTTGGTAGTAGTAAGTTGGTGGAAACTGATGTTGTGTTTTCCGCTTCATCTTCGTTTCTTCTCGTTTCCCTCTTCAATTTTTCTGATCACGGTCGAGGGTAGCCTCCCATTGAATTTCATCTTCAATGTTTGTAATCCAAAGTTGAAGTTGGCGGAGCTCTCACCATATCTCCTCCCTGGTAGGCTTGGGAATGTATCTCATTAGTGGAATGACTAAAGTTTAGGCTTGAGAGGTGAAAAATAGTGCATGAGACTAATGGGAGGTGTATAAAATTTGGTTTAAGATTACTGATTTTGAAAATGGGCAAAGGAAATTTATTGTTTTGATTTGGAATGGGTGGCTAAGGATAAAAAAGAAAATTTTATAGTGGTTGGGGGGGTGAACTTTAGGATATGCTTAGGGTTGAACTTGTTTTGATATCAAATGATACCGGAAGAGAATGCCCAAACCACAAAATGCAACCTTTATTAATAGGAAAAGATGGCTACAACACTTACAAATTGTAAATAACATCACCAAAACACTAGACACCTCGAGAGTGTATCTCAAGGGTGGTGGAGGTTATTGGGAAGGTGGGTTAGCAGTTGGGAGCATTGGGACAGCAGTTGGAGAGGTTGGCTGCAAGAAAAAGTGGAGGGGAAAGTGCTGGACAGCAAGTTACTGCAGCAAAAATGGGTCACAGCGCTTTGGTAAGCGGTTGGGGATGGCCGACTGCTAAGGGAAGTGGAGGAGACGAGGTAGGGAAGATAAAATTGGAGATATAATCACTACCTCGGAGTAGGATACATCCGTAGCACCACCATTTCCTCGGATACAACCCTAGAACAGGGAAAATGATTCCACACACAAAAACTGAAATCAACTCAAGGCATAACTACCTTAACACTCTGAAAACAATAATATATGGACTCCCATTGATGAAGGAAAGTAAAAAACTAAAGAAGGAAGCTTTCTGCATAAAAGGAAGAGATGGGGTGGTAAAAAAATCCAGAAATAGCCATCAAATACTTTCATACAAAGAAGAAACATAACTGGAAGGTGGACAGAGGTGCGGGAGGCCGCTCGCCTCGTTAGGAGGCTCGCTTGGGCGGCTCGGCTTGGGAACCCCATGGACCGGTCCAATTGGACCGATCGGGGTCGGTCCATTGCTCCTGCTCGAGCTGGAGCCTTCCTGCACCCGTGTCCGGTCCATGCAAGGTTCTTCACACCTGCGTCATGGCTGCTTTAGATATTTTGAATTTGGCAGACACCATTTGTTGTGTTGTCTATTTTTTCTCTCGCATGAGTTCTATCATCTTTAGTTAGTAGCTTTTTTAAATATGATTGATGCTGTATTTTTTCCTTTTCTTTTGTAATAAAGTCCCATGTTTTTGCTAAATAAACTGACGCAGGGCTTACCTGCCGCAACCCAACTGCATTGAAGGGCTAGACCAGTCGGTCTAGCCAGGGAGTATCTAGAGCCAACCTACCAGTCCAAGAGGCTTTGCCTCCCATGGGAGAGGATCCTCCTTTTCCAATTCTGCCGCCCATCTCCCTTCCCTATTATATTTCTTTCTCTTTTTAGTGTAGTCTCTTTCTATTACATTCATTTCCTTTTTATTACCTTCTTCTATCCACTATTACATATTATATATATGCTGGTTTGCTTGGTTAGAGGGCAGTTCTTGATTTTCTTTGATTTCAGATTTTTGCCTCCAGCGTTTCTCCCTTCCGAGGTTTGTATTCGACGACGAGAACGTGCTCATGCTGTAACTCGTCCAAGGTGGTGATTATCCCCATTTGTTTCTTCCCCTTCCTGCTGCCGTCAGCCATTCCTGTACCAATCCTGCTGCCACGAGCCTTCCCTGAACCTTCTCCGCTACTGTTAGCCGCCCCTGCACCTTCCTGGATTTGCCCAGGACCTTCGGGGCCCCTTCCAGCTGCCACAAAGTCTTGCTGCCGCAAGCCTCTCTAAAGTCCCCTCTCCAAAACTTTTGCTACAGCTGCCAACCTTTCCAGACATGCTGCCGCCTCCCTCCTCTCCACTAACCTACTGGCTACTGCATCCTCACGAACTATGGTCTACCTGCTAACCAGCCGTCAGCTATCCCACACCCACCATATCAGCCGCCACTGTTCCTTCTCACCTTAGCGGGGGTCTTTGTCTGTGCTGTTGTTTTCTTATTGCAAGTCTCGTCGATTGTAAGCCCATTTGCTTGGCATAATAAAAATTTGCTTTCCTACAGGGTTTTGAGTTAACTCCTGCATCATATACTTAGTGATTTATTTAACTTGATTTCTCCTATTTTTCTCCTACACTTCTTTCTCACAATTACAATACAGTTTATGTCTGCGGACATGATATTTCTTCTTTGTTAACTGCCAATTAGTTGGATGTACTAGGTATCCCGAACAAAGTACAGAGGATGTTGAAGTTGCTTGCCCATTTTGTCGTGGTAACTGCAACTGTAAGGCATGTTTGCGTGTATTCCTCGATTTTAAGGTAATTTAATCTCTTTTTCTACTATTTTACTGGGCTTGGTCTGCAATAACTTCTCTATTTGAAGTTATTGTATATGATTTAGTTTAGCAGAAAAGAACTGGATGACGCAGCCAGATTGGAACAGTTGCTCTATCTGTTGCATAGAGCCTTGCCTATCCTCAGACTTATTGATAAGGAACATAAATCAGAGATTGAAGTTGAATCAAGGATTCAAGGTAAATTTAGGCTGGGAAAATTTGAGGTTATTGATATTTATTTATTTATTTTTTGTATTTGCAATCATGACTTGGTAGTATTCAACAAATTTTCTTCTTCGTACAGCAATTAAATCAGATGAGGTGATTGTGCCAAGGACCATGCTAGACATTGGGGAACGCATATATTGGTAAGCCTGCGTTTTGAAAATATTGATCATGTTCTCTTCCTTAACTAATGTTATTTTTGACTGAAGTATGAAAATACATTTATAAGAACACAAGACCGAATCAGAATCAATGTTTTTAAAATATTGGGCACACAAATTGCAGAGTAAAGAGGTCATTTTATGAGTTAGAGGGTGTATGAATTGCATATCATTTATACATATACGATTTGCATACAGTAAATTATTTAATTGGTAAAACGTAAATGCCTTTAGTTAATAAATTTGAACAAATATAATGACACGTGAAGTAACAATAATTTCAAGCTACCCGAAAGTTAAAAATAAAAGATTAAACACATAAGTAATAATATGACAAAAGAATACCAAAAAAATCAACAATAGCCGTGAGCTTGAGCAATTATTAGTGATCAAGAGGGAGAGACATTGTGAAGTGAGGGAATTTGAATATGATGCATGGAAAAGCATTCTCAAGAAGAAGTTTTTCAAGGAGAAGTTGTAGTGTCATCTACTAGAATTAGTGAGAAATTTATAAGAAAATTAGCAGATAAGTGAGAGTGACTATAAGAACAACCAAGAAAAGAGTGGTTGTCAGGAAAGATTGAAGCGTCAATGGTCAATGACTAATAATCAATAAGAAGCGAACACTTATTTCTAGTTTTTGCGACAGTGCTAAACCAAATCATAAAATTTGAATAAGTACTTCTATTTTATTTATGATTATGAAACTGAGCACAGTAATGTGCCGTGATGAAGAGATCCGACACTTGCGGCTTACTACAAGCTTGTGCTTCTTAGAAAAGCAATGTATAGGTTCAGTTCATCTCTTCACATCACTACTTAAGCTTGGTTTTAAGTACACTTTTAGACACAATGATTTCAATTATATGCTGATCTCCTTTGCCATTTATTTCTGTTGGTACAGCATCAGTTGTTTTACATTGTTGTATAATTCCATGTGATATAAGATAAAAGAATAATAGACATAGCACTTGAAATTGTAATGTAATCAATCATGACAGTAACATTGTATGTGATATCATAATCAGAACAATGGAATGTCATATGAAATTATAGACATGAACTATACATTAAATGAAGTTTCACACGGATAACATTAAATTGTAGAATAATCACATAATTTATGAAGATCCTAAACAATATAGTTTATGATTTGTAACAATATGAGGAATATTAAAGAATTCAAGTGAAATCAAAGCATATTGCATTAAGAATATTCCATGGAAAGAATTTCTATAAACAAGTGCAATGCATATACTAGGTCTAGAAGAAAAAAACATTACTCTTCAATATAATTGTATTACCTACATTAATGATTTTAGATGAACTAGCCTATTGGCCACAACATAACCTCATAATTAATCTTTTTTTTTAAACCAAGCATGATATCATATGTATGATAAGTAATTTTCTCATTGATTTGCTTTTCAGGCTGTTGCCACACATTTGTTCGACTACTACCTTTTCATTGAGAAGTTGTTTTTGAGAACCATATATGCCAAAATATGTTATCTATAGAAAAATTGTTGCCCGACTATTTCAAAAGAGAACATATTTATAATACTCGTAATAGTTTTAAAAAATGTTGCTTTTCCCACAAGAGCCTAACAACCATTCTTACAAAAAATTGCAGCTTGTCACACCTTGACTAATCCCCTCTCTTTTTAGGGTCAATCGTGCTGCAATAGAGGTGAACGACACAGTTAGACGAAATTTCCACCAATACTCATTTGACTTACACTTTTAGGACCGAGTGAGTAATGAATTTGTCTAACTCAATTGTTTTAAACATTTATGAACTATTTCATTTTATACTTGATTTGTATTTTCATATATTTGGAAGCGTACATCATAATATCTCAAAAAATATATACCGAGCTGCTAAAAATCCAACATAATAAAAGAGTGTGCTCAAAAGTTTTTAAATCCCAAAAACTATACAATTGAAAAACTATACAAAAATCACACTAGGCTATTCACCTTAGTGGTCCTTACCCTTCTCTGAAAATAATAACATAAAGGAATGAGCTACAAGTTCAACAGAATAATTCAAACAAAAATAAATTTTTTATAAACGAAAAGATGACAATGTGCATATTCATATGTAGTAAATTTGCATGACAATAGAATATAAATATGAACATATTTTAATTATATGAAATATTTAAAATAAAGTACATGAAATTCAGCGAACAATAATAATTGTATCAAACATATATTTTATTCATTCATGTGCAATCATAATCATATCTATACTGAATTCAAAATCAATATAAATTATCTTAAGAATGTCACTTATAATAGACTTTGACTTTATTTCATTTGATGTCATTGGGTTGTCATCCAACTTGAAAACTAAATTAACTAATAAAAGTTGGGTCCCTCCCAACATAACAATTATCAATTGCCCCACTTCGTATCAATGGTTCATGGATTTCTGTTATTCTCTGATCTCAACAGTTCTTTGATCCATCATCGTTTGACTATCAAAAGTTTAAAATTCCAGGACACACCACTCAGAAGTTGTAGTTTATCTCGGGTCATTGAATGTCCCATTATGTTGCTTCGTTGTCATTTGATTCATTCTAGTTTCCAATATTTTTAAATTTTTTTTCCTTGATATTTTCTAATTTCAATTGTGGACACATCAATTAGCCAAACATCATCGTATCTATTACCCACTAAACACTTACGCACCTTCCGCTCCTTTTTTTTATTCACAGTGACCTATGGGGCACATATTTTCAGCTATACCAATAAACAGTGGTTCCTAACTTTGATTGATGACAACACTCGAATGACGTATATCTACATTTTAAAAGACAAATCGGAGGTTGCTATCACCTTCCAAAACTTTTCCATCTTCATTTTAACTCAATTCATAACTCTTGTTCAGGTTCTTCAGTCCGACAATGACCGTGAATTTTTCAACTTTTTTTGGGTGAATTCTTGGTGAGTAAAGACATCCTCCACCATACTCGTGTACGGATATTCCTCAACAAAATGAGATAGTTGAAAAGAAAAACCGTCAACTCCTCGACGTTGCTCGCTCCATTATGTTTCAATCGAATGTCCCAAAACAATTTTAGAACGATGTTATTCTTACTGCCGCCTATCTTATAAATAGTCTACTCTAAAATTCATAAATTCTGAACCCGTTAGCCATCCAGATGTCATGTTTTCTTGCTGATTGGGTCTTCTCCGCATTAGATGCCAGGTTTTTGGGTGCGCTGCTTTTGTTCAAAACACTGCCCCCACTCAGAGTAAACTTGTTCCCAGATTCATAAAATGTATATTTCTATGGTATTCCGCTACTCAAAAAGGGTATAAGAAAAATCTTTGCGAGTGCTAATGTCTCATTCTTTGAAATTGTTCCCTATTTTTCTACTTCGGCTCCAAGTGAGGTGGAGCTTGGGTTCTTAGACACCGTCCCTTGTCCTACTCCTAGGGATGTTCCCCCCATTGCATTTGCCACTGAGGAGTCCCCTGTTCCTCTGAGTGCACTATCTCCTCCTCCCACTGAAGGGTCTCCTATTCCGTTGAGTGCACCATCTCCTCCTCCCATTGTCCGTGTCTACACTTAGCACACCCGTTATAATGCTCTTACTTTGGAGCCCTCTACTTCCTTACAGGACCTTGAATCTACTCCGAATGATATCGTCAGCGTGGCCTCTCCTTCGAGTGGGAAGGGGAGTTTTCTAAGTAATGTGCGCAATCAGACATGCTCCATCTATTTTATGACAAAAAATATCTCTTTTTATAGTTTATTTCCGACCTACAATGCATCTTTCCCGCCCTAACGGGCCATCAGTTCTCGACTACTATTGAGGTTGCTCTTACTGATCCTACCTTAAAAGGACAGTAATGGAGGAGATGAATGCCCTTCGATGAAACCATACGTGTGACGTTGATCCTTTTTGGGGTAAGAAAACTGTGGGTTGGCAATAGATTTTCAACACAAAGTTCAACTCTGATTGATCGTTTGAACACAACAAAGCTCGCTTGGTCGCCAAAGGGTACTCTTAGACTTACAGAGTTGATTATGAGGAGACATTCACTCCAATGGTTAAGTTAAACACTATTTTGGTGTTGTTGTCCCTTGCGCTGAATCTGAATTGGCTTTTATTCTAGCTAGATGTTAAAAATGTGTTCTTGAATGGGGTGCTTAAAAAAGAGGTTGACGTCTCTCACTCCTGGTTTGGACTCTGCTGCCTCCAGCAGGCAATTGTGCAGATTGCGAAAGTCTTTCTATGGTCTAAAGCAGTCCCCAAGGGCCTGGTTCGACAAGTTCACAAAGGTGTTCGTGGGCCATGATTTTACTCGCGCTCAATCAGATCACACTCTCTTCTTTCGACATTCCTACAATGGTCAGGTAGCTATCCTTATTGTTTATGTTGACGATATTTTTCTTGTAGGTGACGAACTCCCAACATTGAAGTCCTTGAAAGACTTTCTTGCTAAGTCTTTTGAAATGAAGGATTTAGAATCTTTTCGGTACTTCTTAGGCATGTAAATGACTCGGTCATCTCGGGGTATTTGCCTGTCTCAACATAAATATGTGATTGATCTCTTTACAGAGAACAACCTTCTTCTGTGCAAACCAGTGAATGTTCTTATGGATGGATCCCAATGAAAAATTTTCTGACATTTCAATTTCTGTGACTGTCAACACGACTCATTACCAGCCCCTTATGGGGAAACTCCTCTACCTCGTCCATACTCGCTCCGGCATGTGCTATGCAGTTGGTATAGTGATTCAATTCATGCGTGACCCTTATGAGCATCATCTCCAAGCTGTTCACCAGATTCTGCACTATTTAAAAGGTACACTGGGCTCAAATTTGCTTTTATGTCGTCACATCTCTAGGTTTATTACTGTTCATACAAATTCTGATTTGGTCGGATCGGTTCATGGTCAATGTTGCATATCAGGGTATTGCTCATTTGTAAGAGGAAATCTTGTCACGCGAAAAAGCAAAAAC